TAAATCATGTAGAAATAGTCAACACAAAATACCACTGACATCAGCTAAAAGGACCCATGTTTAAATATGGTAGAAATAAATAAGCACCCAAAGAATCAATCTTAAAAACTGACACTGGAATAATTAGCCAGGGTATCAATACCCAAGACCAAATGATGAATATTTAATTTCTCCCATACAACTGAAATGAACTAGAGGGCTGGAGGGGAAATGTATACATTTAAGGAGTTCATCTTAGATCTACCCTGTCAACAGAAGGAACTGGGCTGTCGAGCCCCAACACTAGAAATTCCTACTTAAGAGCCAGGTACAGAGCAGGAGTTAAATAAATGCTTTTTTGAGTGGATGAATGAATGAGTAAATGAACAAATGGTCCTCTAAACTGTTTTAGAGTATTATATTGAGATTTAGAGACTTCATTTTAAAACAGTCTATTCAGCCCTGGCTGGTGGGGCTCAGTGGACTGAGCGCTGGCCTGAGAACCAAAGGGTCACTGGTTCGGTTCCCAGTCAGAGCACATGCCTGGGTTGTGGGCCAGGTCCCCAGCAGGGGCCATGTGAAAGGCAACCACACACTGATATTTCTCTTCCTCTCTTTCTCCCTCCCTTCCCCTGTGTCTAAAAAATAAATAAAAATTTTTTAAAAATAAAATAAAAGTCTATTCAAAGCTATGGACCAATACACTAGATTTTGGGAAAGTCAGTGCTGAATATAATGTAAGTGTTTCTGTTTGTTAATTAATTAAAATGACCACAAAGTCATTATTTGTACCGTAAATTTCTCAGCCTGAAAAGTTAATGAACTGTATCCATCCCATGAATAATTGAGTTAAAACTTGAAAGAGAACTACCCATTCTAAAAGCCTCCCACGCTACCAGTTAACTGTGATTTATCCTTTTACTTCAGAGGAATTTAAAGCATCTTCCATCTGATTTGACTGACAACCACTCTGTGCTTCCTCTGCCTTCCTTCTCTCAGGAAGAAGATGTGACTCGTGAAAGCCGTTTTAATTTCAGCGGTTACGGGATGGGTCACTGCCTCCAGGTGAAGGATGGAACCGCTGTCAAGACCGCACCTGCCAACGCGATCCCGCAGCCCCCAAAAGACGCAGATGCCATCAAGAAGAAGTTTGTGGACCGGGCAAAAAGGATTGACACAATATCTCGGGCTGCCTTCCCATTGGCTTTCCTCATTTTCAACATCTTTTACTGGATCACATACAAGATCATTCGGCATGAAGATGTCCACAAGAAATAGATGTGCCCTTCGAATCCCGGGACCTTCTTGCCTAAGTGTTGTGCTTGTAAATACACAGTGCAATTGTCTTTATATCACTTTGACAGAGGCGAAGATTGGGGGAGGGGGGAGGGAGGATCTTGGGGTGAGTTTCCTGGCACCTATGTGAATGAAGATAAGTTATACGGCCACGAAGGAAAAACGTTTGCACAAAATTAAGTTGTTGCAGAATCATGTGAGTAAAATTCCCTTCATAGTCTTTAGCGTTGTTCTCTCAGATGATGCATTAATTGGACATGATAATGCAAGGTCAAGTTCTCAAGGGCAATTTGTCTGTTGGTCTGGTTTTGACTAATTCTGGTACTGAAAAATTAGCTTCACACACACACACACACACACACACAGAAAATGCTTACCATCTGACCATAGTGACTAGCCTATAGTGAGTCGAGGACCAAACTTTTTCAGGAAAACGCTGCCTCATTTTTAAAACGAGCCTCCTGAGCTATGTTCTTTACAATGTCTGTAATTAGTGTTTCACCCGAGAAATCCTTTTGTGGGTCATAAATTCTTTCTACTTATCGAAAAATCCACAACGAAAAATAAACACCAATCACAAAGAACAGATTTCTACTTTACTGTCCATGTGAGTGTGCATTTTAATATTATTTGTCTTTCCTAGATGTAATTTGGGGGGGTTTAAATCGTGTCTCGTGTAATTGATTTGGTGGTATACCCTCTTAAAAACAAATGCCCGTTTTATTTGAGATCCAAGTTGGTGCACTATGTACTTTTTTCGCTGTGGCTATGTTTCTGTGTGAAGTGCTCCAGTGTGACTTAGCCATCGCAGCCTGTCAGCCACAGTATTTATGGAGATGGTGTGTCCTGAATGGTGTAGCTCATGTTAGCTTGAACTTCCCGTTTCTGCTCTCATTGTAGGTGTAACTACTAGTCCCAATGTCAACTGACCCATGATTTCTACTGTCAATCCAAGTGAATATCATTTTAAATATCCGTAATGAACTTAAAGAATTTTAAAACTGTACTGTGATTTTCATAACCCGTTGCCTTTTTGGTACCAGAGCTATGTGGTTTGAATCCTGGCTACATGTTTTAAGTAAGAAAAAAAAATAAAAGACGTATTTTTGCTTACTCAGATAAAAGACAACCTGTAAAATATAATGAAAAAAAAATTAAATTTTACATGTGCTGTAAAAGGGGTTATTTAAAAAAAAAGTATTTGTTCAATTTCAATAAAGCTAAGTGTGCCACAGAACTTCGCTAGGAGTCTCTCTGTTTTTTAAAGATTTTATTTATTTATTTATTTATTTTAGAGAGAGGGGGAGGGAAGGAGAGAGAGAGGAAGAGAAATATCAATGTGTGGTTGCCTCTCACATGGCCCCCATTGGGGACCTGGCCTGCAACCCAGGCATGCACCCTGACTGGGAATTGAACCAGCGACCCTTTGGTTTGCAGCTCATGCTCAATCCACTGAGCTACACCAGCCAGGGCTGTTTTTGCACAACAATGTGAAAAATTTACATGGCAGTGGTAACTTGGATTTTTGCTCCTGGTCTCCCTCATAAGCTTGAAGCCTTATATAGCTATTATATTATTCTTATAACAGTAGCTTTAGTATCCCCATGAGGAAATAAAAAAATATGTTATCCTCATTGGAGGAATAGGAAAACAGAGATGTGGAAAATTGATAGAGTCATTGTGAGCGGAATCTAATGCTGGACACTTCATATGAGATATGGAAATGTTCCAAGAACACCGAGGACTCATAAAATATCGAAGTGAAAATAAATACAAAAGCCCAACCTGTCCACCTACCCATCATGATTTTGTCAGGAATAGAGTTCCAAGATGACAAAAAAAATTGTAGGAACCCCAGGGAAGTAGGATTAGCTCGTCTTGACCAGAGTAGATTTTCCTTAACCAAAGATATACATCATAGTATTTTCAGGGAGATGTGAATTCATAGGTCAACGGTTATGGCCTCTTAAACCTATTCAAACAGTGACTCATTTCCACAGAGAGGAGTACTGCAGAATTGCTAAAAGCATGAACATGGGTGACAGAAAGCCTGGCTCAGCCACCTAGCAACAGAGGGATCTTAGGGGAGTTATCTGACGTTTCTGAGTGGTTTCTGTTTCATAGAGTTTTAAGAGGATAAACTGAAAAAAAAATGCAAGTAAAGCCATTAGCTCAGAGTCTAACGCATAGTAAATTCTCTAGCATTAATAGATAATAATGAAAGTATTGCTAGTATAAATAGTATTGGTTATGGCAGGGTAAAATGCTTCACAGTGTCTCACCATGGCAAGATTAATGCCAGGCTTTTTGCAGCATTTCTGAAATACTATTTCCGTCTTACTGCTCATTCCTTTCTAAATTAATAAAGCAAAGTCTTTGATTGGTCTTGATTCTGTTCCTCCCACCGCCAAACAGTAAAATGGAGACTGAATGCCTCCCCACATGGGCCTGACCCCGTAAGCATCCTGGGGAGAGCCCCGACTCTGCATATGGTGACATGAGAAGGGACCTTAGGGGCAATCCTCAGCTAAATGACCGTGTCTAATCACAGTGTACACCACATAATTTTCTGCGGGGCATAGTCTCCACATCGGAAAAATGTTTAAACATTTACCTCGAAACACATCTGCCAGCCACATAAGGAGGCAAAGGCATCCTGGATGGCGAGAGGAATTCTTGGCTTTTCTCAAAAGCGAGTCCACGTTCAGTGGAAAGAACTCTTGAATGTTCCAATTTGGGTTATATAAACAAGATCAAATCTCAGGGAAAGGATTATGAGTGCCACACAGTCTGGTGAAATAGATAATGCCTCCAAAAATGTTATTGGACTTTTTGTTTAGGACATTTTCTTTCATAATAGTATTTGAAGGAAAAATAGTTCAAGAGTAAAATTACAGCCCTGAGGAACTGACTACCTGCTTTCATGAGATTGGAAGCTTCTGGAAGAAAGTGGCTATGTTCATTGGCTCTCTGCAATGCCCGCCAGAGCTCAAATGCCCAATAAACATTATTGGGTTGGCCAAAAATCCATTTAGTTTTTTCTATAAAATAAAGACACATTTTTTGTTTTCACCAGTAACTCTATTATTTGGATACTTTGAGTATGCTGGCTTTCTCCTGTGTGGTATGACATTGATTGTTCTCAATTACCAGTAATATCTTGATTTGATTGCTATGGAGGTCACCTGGTCCTAGACCTTAGAGCATCGTCTAGAGAGAAATCTCCAGCATGAAACTTTGCAAACCACTTTTGACACATTCAATCAGTCACAGCACCTTCTCCATACACTGCACAAGTCTTTTCTTTTTGGTTTTTTTTTTTGCATTTCAGTTGCCTTTTTACCTCCCTTGAAATCATAAAGCACAATATGCTGAAAATGTTTATTTTCTTCCATCTTCAATATTAAAATGGCTGCACAAACATTCACAAATTTTGATAAATTTTTTAAATGCATGTTGATATGACAGCTGTCAATATACACTCTAACAAAATTGTTTCTAAAGCACTTAAAGACAACCAGGCACTCCTAGAGCCATCTTACAGAAAAACACAAACTTTTTGGCCAGCCCAATAGGCTGTGCATGTCAACACAAAGTTATATAAGTTTTTCCCACCCAAGCAGTGACATGAGGTAACCAAGTACTGCCACTATTTTTCAGATAACGGTTTACTAGGGGATTTGTCTTTCAAACATTTTTAAATTAAGCCTTAAGACTCTTGATGGCATTTCCAAACACCTTGGCCCACAACAGATACTACACACCAGGCTGACTGTAGATTTTGAAAAATCCTTCCAAACAGTGTTAGCATTAAGCTCCGCATCTATGCTGCTGAACGGATCTGCCAAATTCTAAAAACAAACCTCCCAATAAAGATTAAATAAATGTCATTTTACATTCTTCTTCCTTGATATTTAGCAAATATTTAGCAAATAGTTAGCTAAATATCAAGTAAGAAGGTTCTAACCAAAACACAGCACAAAATTCCATATCATGTGATTCACAGCTTTGGAAAACAAAAAAAATAATAATAATAATCTATTTGGATTTTTTTTTGATTTATGCATTTCCTAATTTAAACAGGAAGCCAGTTTGTAGGATGAATGTAATTTACATGTCTGCCAGATACTCCTTTTTGAATCTTTCAACCTTCGCTATAAATTTTCCTTATTTTCACCTATTCAGTTTTCTCTTTTTTTGAGTGTCATTCGAGTGGTTCAAGCAATACACGCTCTTCAGAGAGCACAAAGCAGAAGAACTAGAGCTAACACCACAGCCTCACATTCAGGAGTGCTTCCCGCACATCGACACGTTTTTCTTGCTACAATGGAATTCAATGCCAGTAATTACTCAGGGTGGCCAGACCACAAAGAGCTGACATCCATCCTTTGAGCAATAGATAAACCGAAGCTCTATGAGTTCACCATCTCACCGAAGTCCTATCATGTCAGAGGTGGAACATGCAGCACGACTTGTTTCCTGTAGCTGTGACTATACCCACAGTGTTGAGGGAAATGAAAGCCCGCGAAGTAAAAAGTCACGGTATCACTCACCCGCCCTCATGGATGGGAAAACAAACTGGTAAAGGAGTGTATGTTGTAGAATATGTCTGTTCAAAATGCCTAAGAGAAATTGCTCAAAATTGTGCATACAGCGTTAAGGATATCTTCACGGAGTCAATATTTGATATGACTGAATGCCCAAAACAATCCTGGGGCTGGAAAAAAATGACCAATGGAATTCCATGGAGAAGGTGTTTATTTCCATTTTTGAAGGAGAGAAAATGGCCGTCACATTGTCACACATGCCCCCCACCTAAGAAAAGTTGCAATATTCCTACTTTGGTGCAAATGCGCTTTGGAAATAAGTAATATAGTTTGCTTCAAGCTGAGAGTAGTGTGTCTGAGAGGCTTTTAGACCACAGGCCAGCATTTAAAAGCACTTTAGCGCTTTGGCACCAATGGTTTATAAATAGGTGAGTGCATCTTCAGAGAGGAGCACAGAGCCCTGGGGTGCTCTTGGGGAAGTGGCAATCGCACTGGCCTTCTTGGAGGACCCAGGGCTGGTCATGGAATGAGCAGCTTGGTCAGTCCGCATGCAGACTGAAGGCTCTGGGTCCTCAAAAATGATAACATCAAGGGCTAGGAGACCCTTCATGTACCAGTGTCAGAACTAATGAAGACTTCCTCACATGCAATGGATAATCATTTCTTAAGCTACCCCTGCTTTCTACGGAGAAAGATTTGGGGATAGGGTAGCAGGGAAGAGAGAGAGAAAGAGAGAGAACAGACAGAAAATTCCTTTTAAGGCATAAACCAGATCATGTCACTTGGCTTTAAACCTCCAATGGCTTGCCATCTTACTTAGAGAATGAGCCAAAGTCCTCATCATGCCCACACGATCTTACCGCCCATCCCCTCCGAGCATCACCATTGCCATCACCATCCGCAGCAAAAGCACCATAACCATTCCCATCGCCATCATCAGCAACAACAGCAGCGGCGTCGCTACCATCAGCAGCAGCAGCAGCATGATCATTATTTTGTGGGTAAAGAAACTGCTACAAAGCACAGTGAAGGCCACGATCACAGAGGTAGATCCAGGCATCGAGTACCAGCTGTGAAAGGCTAGGCAATGTCTGCAGAATGAGAATGATGATATCTGCCCCGCCCACCCGCCTTTCAAGGCTGCCGTGAGGATGAAATGAAACCGCGAATGTCAAAGGTATCTGAAAGTTATCTTGTGGATGAGGACAGTAGCGCATGAGGAGCTAAAGTCCCTTTCTGAGGTCACACAGTCAAGATTCAAAGTCAGGCAGTGTTTTTGCTTTTAGTTAGCACATTGTATTGCTTCTTCAGTCAATCTAAAAAATTATCATGATGGATATATATTGTTATATAATTGTATATATAATTATGATGGCTATAAAAGATATATTTTATATGTTTATTTGTATAGATATATCTTTTTTTAAAGATTTTATTTATTTATTTTTAGAGAGGGAAGGGCGGGAGAAAGAGAGAGAAGAGAGAGAGAGAAACATCCATGTGCGGTTGCTGGGGGCCGTGGCCTGCAACCCAGGCATGTGCCCTGACTGGGAATCGAACCTGCGACACTTTGGTTCGCAGCCCACGCTCAATCCACTGAGCTACGCCAGCCAGGGCGTTATCATATCATTTTTAATAATTCATTTCCTTATCCATTTCCCCTACCAGCCTATGAGAC